GAAGCTCACGCGCCTAGAGCCCGTGCTCCACAACAAGAGAAGCTACCGCAATGAGAAGCCTGCGTGCCACAACAAAGAGTAGCCCCTGCTTGCTGCAACTACAGAAAGCCCGTGCGCAGCAATGAAGACCCAATGCAGCCAAAAATAAATAAATAAATTTTTTTAAAAAAAGTATGTATGGTGGGAAGGGAAATATAAGAGCTACTTCTCCTTCTATTTTAAATGTCAGTAGGGGGACAGTGGTAAAGAATCCACCTTCCAATGCAGGGAACAGGGGCTCGATCCCTGGTCGGGGAACTAAGATCCCGCATGCCACAGGGTAACTAGGCCCTCACGCCATAACTACTGAGCTCGCACGCCTCAACTAGAGAGCCCACATGCCGCAAACTAGAGAGCCCATGTGCTCTGGAGCCTGTGCACCACAGCCAGAGAAGAGAAAACCCTCATGCCACAACTAGAGAGAAGCCCAGCGCTACAACAAAAAAGATCCCACGTGCTGCGACTAAGACTCGACACAGCCAAATAAATAAATAAATAAAAATTAATTAATTTTTGAAAGGTCAATAGGAATTTTAAAATTCCTATTGGACTTCCCAGTCAGTAGCTGTGAGAAATAAATTTATGTTGTTTTTATGTCACCCCACCCCCCAATTTTTAAAATAGTTTATCTGTATTGGTCAAAATGTGGAAGGAAATATCAGGAACAAAAAACAACTAAACCGGGCTTCCCTGGAGGCACAGTGGTTGAGAGTCCGCCTGCCGATGCAGGGGACACAGGTTCGTGCCCCGGTCCGGGAAGATCCCACATGCCACGGAGTGGCTGGGCCTGTGAGCCATGGCCGCTGAGCCTGCGCGTCCGGAGCCTGTGCTCCACAACGGAAGAGGCCACAACAGTGAAAGTCCCCCGTACCGTAAAAAAACAAAAAACAAAAAACAGCTAAACCAGTAGTTGCCTTTGGGGAGTGGGAATCAGGGGTGGTGAGGGTAGGGGAGAAGGCTGTCTTTTTTTTTTTTTTTTTTTTTTTTTTTTTTTTT